TTGAGAGGGGAGTCTAATGTCCTGTCCACCTTTGCGAGACCATCTGCAGCAGAGTTCCCTTCCCGTAAAATGTGAGAAACTTGAATCCCATTTTGAAGAATGAGTTGACCCAAAACGTCAATTGGGAAAGAGGAGACTGAATTTTTACTGAACAATGGAATCCTGGAAATAATGGACTTAGCATCAGTCTCATAAATCAGAGAATTGGAAATTAAAAGAGCCCATCTGATTGCTTTAATAGCGACATCCACTTCAGCTTGGTAGGCACTCCTAGAGTGTAGTTTGAAGGAAGCCCCACGGACCAATCTTCCTTCTGCATCTCTTAAAATAGCTGCACCTCTTTGATGTCTTGTGGTATAGGAGGCATCAACATTGAGTTTAAGCCTACCCGTAGGAGGTGCCTTCCATTTAACCATGCGAACGTAGTTGTGAGATGTGAACCTGGGTATAAGATTATGTGAGAATAACCAGGAGTCAAAATGTTGAAGTTTGCGGGGAGTCTTGATGGACAACCATTGTTTGGTATACGAATCAATCTGATGAATAAGACTTAGAGTGCTAAAATTGGAACATTTCCCATAAATGATCTCATTCATCTTTTTCCAGATGTGCCAAGTGATTATCTCTGGCAGATGTTTACGCAGTAGCCCGTAAAGGTTAAGTGTGTCCCTCAACCACCCGTTCATGAAGTGTTGGTTGATAGTAGAAGATTCTGTGTGGAGGAAGTTTAGACATCTAGCATAATGTCTCCAAATATCCACGATCTTAACACAATCAATCAGGGAATGTTTTGCTGTGAGGCTTGAATTCATGCAGAAAGGACAAACAGAAGGGAGAGCAAAACCAAGCCTTCGAAGGTTTTCAGGGATTGGCAAGCACTTACGTAAAAGTTTCCACATAAAGATGCTGATCTTGGACTTCTGTGTGGGGATTCCCAAATATTATGAAACGCAAGAGAAGGGCTAGAATTAGTCCTGCAAACCTCATAAGCACTCTTAAGGGTGAACTGCCCAGATGGTTCCTCATTCCAAATAAATGCTTCCTCCTCGGTAGTATGGCAGTGATTGAGAGCTTTGACATTAATCCTTGTGATCCTTGTCCAGGTAGGGGAGTCCACCAAGTGACATTCCATCTCTCCCCGCCTATGATATTTGGCCCTCATGAATCTCCCCCAGAGGCTGTTATTATGTTGATATTTCCACCATAATTTGAGACTAAAGGCCTCCTCCAAGGATTGGAAGTCTCTAGTGCCAATACCACCTTCCTCTTTTGGTAAAGAAAGAGATTCCCACTTCAGCCAATGATGCTTCTTCTGGCCACAACCCCACCAGAACCCTGCCATCTTTTGATGAAGAAGGTTGATGATGGATCTAGGAACATTGTTTGCAGCCAAAAAGTAGTTAGGAATGGTATTGAGGACATGATTAATAAGGATTAATCTTCCTGCCTGATCCAAGTTTTTTTTGATACCATCCATTGAGTTTCTTGTCAAAGGAAGAAATGAGAGGTGTACAATGGTGTTTCCTTGTGATGCCAGAGTGGATAGGGCTACCCAGGTAGGTAAAAGGGAGCTTTCTGTGTGGCATGGTCAAGAGTTGTTCCAGCTTCCTTATTCTCATAGTATTAAACTTCTTCCCAACCATGAAGCTGCTCTTAGAGGAGTTAATAGTCTGACCAGAGACCTGTTGATATTTAGCCAAGAATGTCTTCAAATTGGAAATAGATCTGAGATGAGCATTGGTGAAGATAATGAGGTCATCGGCATAAGCCAAGTGGGTGACAGGAATGCTGTTTCTGCCACAGTTGAATCTACCCAAAGAACCAGTGTGGAACAGTTTATTAATGTTCCTAGAGAAACCTTCATTAGCAATAATGAAGAGGAGGGGGGATAAAGGGTCACCTTGTTTGATTCCTCTCGATTGGCCAAAGAAACCACAAGGTTTCCCATTGAAAAGAATGGAGTATTTAGAGGAATGAAGGAGGTTTTTGATCATAATTAAGAACTGGTGAGAGAAGCCAAATCTATGGAGTATATCCAAGAGATAGGACCACTTTAACTTATCGAAGGCTTTGGCCATGTCAAGCTTGAGGATAATGTTGCCACCCCCAGCTTTTCTATCAATGTTATGGGCCATTTCTTTTGTAAGAAGAATCTGCTCCATGATATCCCTACCAGCCACAAATGCCCCTTGTTCTTCAGAGATGATCAAAGGAAGCACCTTGCTAAGTCTCTTGGCAATGCATTTTGTTGCAATTTTAGAGGCAACAGTTGATAAACATACAGGCCTAAAATCATTCAGTCTAGATGCATTATCACATTTGGGAATAAGGCAGATATTGGTGCTTGCAGCAGCCACGGGGAGTGGAATGCCCAAGAAGACTTCTTGACAGGCAGAAATTACCTCTCTCTTAACTATATCCCAGCATTCCTTAAAGAAATTGACATTAAAACCATCTGGACCAGCACAAGAGTTAGACTCCATGTCAAAAAGGATGGCTTTGATCTCATCTTCAGATGGTAAATGCATCAGATCTTGATTATGATGATGATCTAAAATTTTAGGGATGTTTGCCAGGAAGCCATCATAATCTACTGTAGAGGGATCCGGTTCAGCAGAATTAAACAGGTTATGGTAGTAGGAAGTAACCATATCTTCTAAAATTGTTGGATCTTCTTGAAACTTCCCTTGCTCATCCTTTAAGGAGTTGATTTTTTGCTGCCTTCTTCTTTCCTTGACCAAATTATGAAAAAATCTGGTATAGCATCACCTTCCTTAAGCCATTTGAGATTACATTTCTGTTTCCAGTAGCTATGTTCCAAGTTCCCCACCTGCAAAAGCTGAGCTTTTTTAAGATTAACTATCTCTTGATTGGTATCTGAAGGATCTTTCTCAAAGTTAATCTCAGCTGTAGAGGCCTCATCTTCAGCTTCTTTCACCAGGTCAAAAATGTTACCAAAGTGTTCCTTATTCCAGGAGACTATTTTGGATTTGAGGTGATTGAGTTTATGAAAAAGGCATCTCATTCCTCCATAGTATGGGATTTCTGCCCACCAATCTTTGCAGAGATTTTTGAAGTCTTTATTTAGGAGCCACATGTTTTGGAACCTGAAGGATTTCGGGGTTGTAATTGTGGACAATTTGGAGGATATTATGAGAGGAGAATGATCACTGCCTTGTTTTGAAAGATGTTTCATTGAGATGTCTGACCAATGATTGCTCCATCTTTCATTGAAAAAAACCCGGTCCAATCTCCTCCACACTTTGCCATTACTTCTAGTACCATGCCAGGTAAAAATTGGTCCAGTGAATTTGCTTTCCAGCAGATTACAATCTTTAATGCATGAGTTAAAATCTTCCACCCCTTCTAACTCAGGCAGCCTTTTCCCTTGGTGATGAAGGATATCTGAAATGGCATTGAAGTCTCCCCCCAATAACCAAGGGAGAGCAATGGAGTTATTAAAGGATCTGATATCTTCCCAAAGGTTTTTCTTACTTAGCACAGAGTGTCCCCCATACACTCCACTAACAACAAAGGTAGAATCATCTTGAATACCCTTCATGGTGAAATGAGAGATCTGATTTCCTTCTAGCAGATTCAAGAGAGAATAATCTTCTTTGTTCCAAAAAAACCAGATTTTGTTATTGCAAGTACTAAGAAAGCCAGTAAGACCCAAGGAGAAACCAATGTCTGGTCCTTTAGAAGAAGCCAGCATGGGTTCAAGAACAAAAATAAAGTCCAGAGAGTGGTGCTTATTCAAAAGGGATAATCTCTTGCACCGTTGAGACACACCCCTTACATTCCAAAAAAGGGAATTAATCATTGAAGGGTTAGGAAAACCCCATTACCAGATTTCTTGAAATCTGACCTTGTACGAATCCTTGAAAAATTAAAATGGGTACCAGATGGAGAAGAAGGAGCTGAGGAGGAGATTGTCTTGAGGGGGATGTCTTCTACTTCCTCTTGGCTGTGAACCCGAATAGGTCCTGGAGTAGGCAAGTCTGACATTGGGCTCCCTTCTGCAAGAGGAGGTTCTGACACTGGAGTCCCTTCTGCATGAGGAGGTAAATCTGAATGAGCCAACCCAGAAGGGTCCAAGAAAAAAACATTGGTGGAAGGTAAAAACACTAGAGCCCTCCTTCTTGCACCCGTCTTGGAAGTTTCTACATGTTCTTCTCTTATAGTGGGTTTTGGGGCCCAAACATGAGGGACAGGTTTGGAAATATCCCCCTGTTTAGGAATAGCTGGAGCCTTGCCCTTCCGAGTGACTTTGGTCCATCCCTGCTGGACTTTGTCGTCGTTATTGTCCTGGACTTTATGGGCTGGAATATCCCTTTTCACCGGTTGTGTGACCGGTTTACAGGTCAGTTGGTTGTGACCCAGTTTCCGACAAGAATTACAGAAAAGAGGGGGATCTTCATAGACAACCTGGAAGAAGAGATCAGCATCAGCATGTTTGACATGAATGCGTTGGTGGAGGTTCCTTGAAACGTCAAGTTCCACACAAACCCTAGCAAACTTGGGTCTGGCGAAGTTGAGTGTAGCATTGTCAACCTTTAAAGGGGTCCCCAACATGGAGGCAATACTGAAAAGAGCAGCTTGTTCATGAAGGTGAATTGGAAGGTGAGGAATGGAAATCCAGACCGGAACAATGGGGGAGTCTTCTTCTTGTGTTAAGGTTGGAGACCATTTGGTTACAGACATGGTATCCTTGTCAATGGTCCAAACCTTACGATAAAAGAATCTCTGGTAGTCTTCATCTTGCTCGAAATTGATGAGGAAGCTGTTGGAAAAGAGTTCGCCCACTGTGAACCCCCCGGAAAAACCCAAACGAGTCAAGAAGTTCTTAACAACCAAAAGAGGGGGTCTTCTCCTGAACTTCCCGATCAAAGCATACCTGAAGCAAGTTGTTAGTCCGTCGACATCTGCTTGAGAGAAGGATATGGACGGGCAGCCTTTGAACATACTCTTATTAGCCTGAGAGCTGGTTTTAGGTGATTGTTTGAAAAGATCAGAGAAGAGCTTGGACCTCACCTGTTGTTCGCCGGAAACCGGCGGGTTATCGCCGTCTCTAGAGAGAGAGAACATTTTATATATAAACCAACGATCACCTTCACCACGGAGGAGTTAAGGAAGATTGGAGATTCTTTCTCTTACTCCATTAAAGCAGGTAAAGGAGTGGATGAAAACATCCTCATCACCCAGAAGATGATCCACTACCTTGACATCTCTGGAAGCGCCAACATTGCTATCAAAGTTGACTTCGCCAAAGATTTTGATAGAATTTGTTGGCAATTCGTAGAGGTTACTCTAAGCTCTTTTGGATTCTCCTCCCAGTCATGCTACCTTCTTTTATCCACACTCAAGGCAACCCATTTCTCCATCCTCATTAATGGATCTCCACATGGGTTTTTCAAAATGAAGAGAGGGGTTAAGCAAGGGGACCCTCTATCCTCCCTCCTCTTTATCCTTGGAAATGAAGGTTTAAGTAGACTTATTAAGGGGAAAGTTGAGGAGGGTTCCTTAAAAGCCATTCAAACAGGGAGAAACCATCCCCCTCCCACCTTGCATATGCGGATGACATAATTTTATTCCTTAATGGTCATTTTAGAAACTTGCTCAGGTTCAAAGGGCTGCTGGATTGTTTTCTCAAATCATCTGGACATCTTATCAACCTCAACAAAAGCCAATTCTACACAGGTCTGAGAGTGAAGCCAGAAATCAAAGCTAATATGCAAAGGGCACTTCATATGAGAGAGGGCAAGTTACCTTTCACCTACTTAGGGGCAACCATTGGAAAAGGGAAAGTAAAGAAGGAAGACTGTAAGAAAATTATCCAACATTTTGATGTCTACCTTAATACTTGGCATAGCAAGGTGCTCAACCAAATGGGGCATTTGATCCTAATTAAGCATGTTCTCAGTTCAATACCCTTACACATTGTTGCTGTCCAGCAAATGCCTAAATCTATCCACAATATTTTGAACAAGAAGATGCAGAATTTCCTATGGGGATACAAAAATGGGAGGCCTAAATATCATTGGATATCCTGGAGAGGCTTATGCTACCCAAAACACGAGGGAGGTCTAGGCATTAAAAACCTCGAAGATGTTGAAGCAGCATACTCAACCAAACTTTGGTGGAAGATTAAGAACTCACAAGGCCTTTGGGGGGAATACATGAGGAGCAAATACAGACCAGATTCTTTTCAGGAACGTCCTACAAACACGATTACCTGGAAAAGGGCTGCAAGGATCCATAATTGGGCCTTACAACATGTCCAGGAAGTGGATGAAACCGACATCTGGAAGGGAGAGCCCTTCACCACCAAGTTGGCATACCACGCCTGGAGGGATTCTAAGCCTATCTCTCTTGCCCATAAGATGATTTGGAACAAGCTTCAAATCCCAAAGATTAGCCTCTTCATGTGGAAAGCTTTCAATCATATACTTCCCTTCCCGGAAAACTTATCCAGGTTTAACCTTGCCCTTCCTTCCCAATGCAGCTTCTGTCTCAACGGCCCGCAGGACCTCAACCATACCCTCCTTCAGTGTCAAATGTCCTTCAAAATTTGAAGGTTCTTCTCAGCTCTATTGTATGGTCCCATTTTTAGTAGGGAAGATACCCTACACGATACCTGCATGAAATGGTGGATTAGCACGCCAAGAAACAAGCTGCAGGATAAAATCAACTCGGTCCTCCCAGGTTTCATTGCATGGGGACTACGGAAGGCTCACAACGAAGTGAAATACTCCGGGAAAGCCTTCAAAGAAGGGACTATTATCACAACAATCATGAAAACAATACAACATTGGATATGGATTCACAAAGGCAAGAAATGGATGCATATGGATGAAACGTTGCAGTCCTTGGGTTTTTGTTTGCACTTTAATAGAAATAATTCTCAATGCTTTTTTGTTTTGTAATTTTAACTAGTGGGACGAATGCTTATCAATATAAATTTTGTATTATATATATATATATATATATATATATATATATATATATATATATATATATATATATATATATATATAACCAAGGGAAACAAGCTTCACTTAACGTGTATACAACACTAAGACACTCAAGAACAAGACTCTTCTTAAGAGTGGATATGAGTAAAATATATACGCTCAAGAACAACTCAAACTTCACACAAATTGGCTCTAGAAAGCTATGGAAAACAATGTTGTTTGGATGCAATGATAATATGAATATTGTGAAGTGAATTGGTGTGTAAAGCAGACCCAAACACCCCTTTTTATAGTGCCAAAGTAGGCTCCAACGGATCAAAACATTTAAGGGGTGATTGTCTTGATTTATGGGATTGATTAGATTTGGGATCTGCAGGATATTGGCTTCCCATCGATGTTTAGACTTACCCATCGCTGGTAAGCCAATTTTCCTTCAGTTTTGAAGCCAACGGTCACCTACCCATCAATGGGTAAATGCTTCCCATCGCTGGGTGGGAAGTTGACTTTCAAACAAGGAATGAATCAGCCTTAAATGACTCACAACGGTCATGCCTAACCATGGCTAGGTAATATCCTCCCATCGCTGGAAAGTCACTTACCCATAGATGGGTAATATCTCCCATCGCTGGGTAAGGGCATTCTGCCTTGTGATAATGTTGGACCAAGGCTTGAACAGCGATGGGTAGAGCTTCCCATCGCTGTTTGGCATGGTTCTGGAATTCAATTGGGCTAAAGGCTGCTTACCCATCGCTGGGTAATATCTCCCATTGCTGGGTGGCATGATTCTGGAATCCCGAAATCACTTACCCATGGATGAATATCTACCATCACTGGGTAGATGGCTAGTCTAGAACCATGGCCTAGCCGACCGGCGCTAAAACCCGACCGAAAAACGCAAAGTTCTCCAAAGTATAAACTAAGTATATAAAACACTTATTTAACGGGTGGTTTTTACCAAAAGACAAAGCTGAAAGGTGGTTTTCATGATGTTTTGATTGGAGAACCATTTAAATGCATTCAAAAACAATTCCCACACAAAAAGACTCGAAAACCACTTCATTTAAGTAAAACCACGGCTAGTCAAGTTTATGCCGTTTTGCATGGTTTTATCAAACGACAAAAAATGCAAGGTGGTTTTTGAAGTGTTTTTGATGGAAAACTATTTAAATGTGCCCAGAAGTAAAAAACAATCATAAAAAGTTGAAAATCACTTGGTTGGTTTGGACGCCAAAACTAACGCCGATAACCGAATGCTGAACGCCAGTTTCCAAAAGCCAAACGCCAGATGGCTTGGTTTTTGGTTTGGGCGAACACCAAGTGTTTTTAATGATTTAAACATGTTTGAAAAACATTTTTATGAAGTGTGAAATGTAATGAAAATAATGTTAGCCTAAAGAGCCAAGGTGTAAAGATTGGGTCAGTCTTGATCACAATAAAGACCGACTCAACGACACTAAGACTATGGTCTTCGTTCTTGGTCTTCTTTTAGCTCTTGTTCTCATCTTTGTTCTTCGCCTTGTATATTCAATATTTTACTTGATCACGGCGGTTTGGCATTATCAAAACATGTCATAAAAACGAACACGCCTTTAGTACGAAAACGTGACAAGCCCGTGTTTCAACAATTTCCCCCTTTTTGATAATGGCAAACAAGACAGGGTTATGTATAGGAGGATTGATTTGAGACTTAAAAATTGTTCTCCCTTAATAAATGCAATTTTCTTTTCAACAAAGTTTATGTGTTGAATAAGAGTTAGTTTTAGAAAAAGTTCCCCCTCAATCTATGCATAACCTTTATATCTTCCCCCTTTTGACATTAACAAAAAGAATTAAAAGTAAATTTTTATTCATTAAAAGGGAAATGCGGAATACAACGGATAAATATACAATCATATTTAATTAGGAGAGAATAAAGAAGAGCTCGTGGCGTCGGTGTTGGCCTTCTTCTTTGAAGCCTCAGTTGTTGGTCCTCGACTTTCCTCTGGCCATTGTTTAAGCGTTTAGAAAGTGAGTAGAGGCTTAAAGTATGCAAAAGGAATGTAAATTATGTGTTAAAAATGACCAAGGATGGTTAATATTTATAGGAAAAGGGAATTTTTGGTGTTCAAAAATATGGCTGTTGGGAATTGAATGAGGTGCCCAAGGGCTATGATTTTTGAACTGCAATAGGCTTCCCAGCGATGGTAAGATTCTCCCCATCGATGGGAAGACAACTACTGGAAAGGGAGAAAAAAAGTGTAGGCAGCCTTCCCAGCGATGGTAAGGTTCTCCCATCCATGGGAAGATAGTTACTGAAAATCCGTTAAAAAATTTTAAAAAAAAAGTGTCAAACACCCAGCGATGGGAAGAAGTTCCCATCGATGGGAAGAAGGCTGGTGGTTAGAAAATACTTCTTTCCCACCGATGGTATAAACAACCCATCGATGGTTCCCCCTAAGTTCCTCACTTTGATACGTACCTGCAAAAAAGCAACACTTTGGTACCCAAAGTATGTCAATGGGTCCTTGGGGGTTAGTTAACTTTTATTTCCCACACACACACCCACACACATACACATGATTAGATGATCGTTTAAGAATTACCTTGGCCAACCCGTCGTCTCGTGGTTGGCGGGTTCCAGTCTACCTGAACAGAGTGCCAATATCTCAATGTAGTCTGTGTTGGTTCCGGTAACGGAATGTGGACTTTCTTCTTTTCGTCAAAGTAGAAGAAATAATACGATTTCTTTTGTGTACTTTCCTGTGGAGATTGCCTATGATACGAATATCCTTTTCTAAAGGATTTCTTTTTGTTAGCATAAAAAATGTTGTGTGTTTCATTATAGGTGGAGTGCCTATGTCTGGTAAAACACACAGGAGCTATATGTCCTACCCTATTGCAATAATGGCATACTACGTTTGGGTTGAACATATGCCTAGGTTGATAATAGCTAGGGGGCCTAACCATGTTTGTCCTATTTTGAGAAAAGGATGGTTTATGCATGTTTTCAAAAGGATCATTTCTAGGTGTTCTCCTATTGTCTCGTCTATTTTGAGAAAAAATATTTTTATGCACAAAATCATTTTGATAATTTTTCTTAGGTTGTCTATCATGAACGTTTTCATTTCTAGGTTTTTGTCTAGGTTGTCTAGTGTTCTTAGATTGACTAGGTTTTCTATTAACTTGATTTTTAGCTTTCTTGCGTTGAGCCTTAAGAGGTTGTCTAGGTGTTTGCTCAATGTTTTCTTTGTCCTTAGCTTCGTTTTTATTAAAACCTATTCCTTCTTTAGAAAAGTGCATAGTGTCAAAGAGTAAATTAAGATCTTTGTGCGGAGTATTAAATTTTTAATTGTACTCTCAAGTTTTGTGACTTGTTCTTTCAAAGCTATGCAAGTGTCACAATTTTTTGTAGAGCTCTCGGGTTTGTCGGCGCTTCTTTTACCATAAAATTTATTTTCCTCTTTCAGTTTTTCGTTTCCCTTTTGAAGTTTCTCAATTTCAATTTCAAGATTAGAAAAACGTTTCTTTAAAGCTTTGTTGGTTTTAGAAGCGCTAACAAACTCGTCATAAAGCTCTTGGAGAGTTTCTTTCATTTCTTCAAGAGAATAAGAAATGGTAGAAGGTTTGCTTATTCGTCTTCCTCTTGCTCGCTTGACTCATCGCCGGAGTCGCCACCCCAAGAGATGTATGCTCTTTGCTTTTTGAAGTGACGAGCATTCCTTCCGCTTCTTAGGCATTTGTTCTTAATGTGCCCGGCTTCACCACATCCATAGCACATAGGGTCATCCTCAACCTTATCTTTCTGCCTTAGGTACTAGGTGAGAGTCAATCCTAACTTCCACTTCTGATTCTGTTTCCCGGCCGATGAAACGACATTCTATGTATTCAGTCTTGTTCCTGACGAATGCATGAATAAAAAGGTAAACTGCCTATACGAATGGGTAGGTGAAGATTTGTATAATGCATGGTGCAAATCTTGGCTGATATATGAGTGGCTTCTAAATGGCTCCCAAATTATACTACCCGTCCACTTGAGTATTTTTTATCTTAGTTACTCAGTTATTAACTTTCATGTGGGCAGGGGAATGGGATACATGGGACATAAATTGAATGTCTTAAAAAATAACTAAACAAAACTAAGATCACTACAAGTTTCTGATTTTGTATTCACTTCATGGATTTTCTCCCCTCTGCCAACTCATGATCAGTTAAAATGAAGTCTTTTATATGTCATTTCCAAATAAGTACAAAAACATCTTAAGCCTTAACTCCTTAAAACTGGCAAATCTTCATAGTATACAGGCTGCAATAAAGAGTGATTTTCGAAATGAATGTGGAACTGCTTTTCAGTATATAACATCGTGCTTAAGCAAACTCGAGTCAACCAGACTTGCATGTCACCCAAACCTATTCTCATTTCCAAATACTATTCTTTTGCAAAATAATGATTAATTATTTAAATTTCTAATGCCGAAATTAAAGAAATATTTTTATTTTATAGAATAAGTGGTAAAAGAAATGTGATTTGCCAATTATTATCTATTACACTGTTCAAGGGTCTTCAAGTTCTTTTTTTTATAATGATTCTAATCCCATGAGGTGTTTTTATTGTGGTTCCGAGAAATCGTCATCTAGACTCTGTGGTTGTTCTTTCTATTGTTATTCACTTATACAATACTCATATTTAGGGCTGTTCATCGGTCTAAAACCGGACCGGACCGAACCGGACCGAACCGAAGGCTGAAATTCATCAAAACTCAGACCGAAGACCGGACCTAAATGTACTCGGTTCTGGACCGGACTGAACCGAAATCATATGGACCGAACCGGTCCAGACCGAAAGGACCAAATCAACGCTTAAACAGAGTTCAAATTTTAATTCTGGTGACCATTCCACTTGTTTACCCAAATCATTTTGGCGAAGGAAGTAAAGCCTGTAGGGTAGGATTTTTGAATAGTTTCTCACAACACCACTGTCCACCTTCTATTTAGATTTAGAAAGTTCCTCAAATTGAATACTTCTATTTAGATTTAGAAAGTTCCTCAAATTGAATAATTTCTTACAGTGGTACAAAACCACTATCCACCTTCATAAGATTAAAAAATCATTTTTGGAGAATTGTTGTAGATTCAATTTACAGGTTTTATAGATTCAATTACAGATTCTTCAATTATTGTTCAGTGGATTCTGCACAAACACCAGGTGAAACAAATAAATTAGAAGTTAAATCAGTTTTTAAAGATGTCATCACATCATAGAGAAATAAAATCAGGTGAAAGGAAATATGCTATCACCTGGAATGGTGCTGACAGAATCTGCCAATTGCCAATTGTTCCAAAGTACCGTGTTCAAAAGTGCCAAACTTCTGGTTTGAGAGGGTGAGAGTGGAATCCGCCTGGAGAGTTGAGATTGTTGGAAGAAGATGACGGAGAAGAAGATTGGAGAGGAAGAGAATCAAATCGGGGACGGCGAGTGGCCTCTGTTGCACGATTGGATGCTTCGGAAACGTAAAAGAGAAGATGACGAAAGAGTTCTTGAAAAAATACGGACTATGGATTGGACTTGGGCCTTGGACAGTGGAGTAGTGGAGTGTGGACTAGGGAGTATTTTCGGTCTTTTCGGTCCAGACCGATTGGGGATCGAGTTTAGACCGGACCGGACCGAAACCCAAAATTCTAAATTTGTTAGACCGAAGACCGACCCGAAATCTATTCGGTCCAGGTTCGGTCTGGACCTATCGCTCCGGTTCGGTCGGGTTTTTCGGTCTGGACCTAAATATGAAAACCCGTACTCATATTCGTATAGCATCAGTTCCATCCCTAAATGTGGTTTAGTTACATCATACCACATGAATCGGCATAAAACAATAGAGATAGCATACCTCTAAGGTTCTGGGTGTTTATCAGGGAAC